ACCGACCTGAGGCAGCTGGACAATGTCAGGAACGCCCCTCTTCTACCTGACCCGACACCTGGGCGCAAGATTGAGAGGCGGCGGCTTTTCAACTTGGGCGCGCGCGACCTGGTTCAAGATATCTCGAGTGTGGACTGGATAGCCTATCCTCAGATCATCGACGATGTGGTATCACAAGACCCCATCGCGATCATCGAGGAGATCACTCTGGGAAAGGAAGAGGAAGCTGGAGATGGACCAGGAGGTGGCCAACAGCCTGCAGCAGCCCCGCAGGAGCCTACCCATACTGACGAGACCATGGAGGAACCTAAGGAGGTGACGCGCGGAGGCAAGAAGCACACCAAGAAGGACCTGAAACTCAAGCAGACCAAGCGGAACGATGCTCAGGACGATCGAGCTCAGCTTCGAGTACCTGCCAGGATCCAGAGGCACATGCAGGAACGCCAGATAGCGGAGGAAAAGGCAGCAGTACCGGCAGAGGTACCGCAATATCAGCCGGCTACATCATCGTCAAGTACGCGACAGCCTGCACAGGGCAAGCGCCAGGAACACCCAGTCACGATCATCAAGGAGTTCTTGCTGGGCGATGTGCCGATCAGCATCAAACGAGCCCGGGCACAAACTGGGCCAGTCAAGCAGCTGGCAGATGCGCCGCTGCTCGTCGAGGCGTTCGCGGCCGAGAGGATGCGCAGCCAACCGACGAGAGCCAGCAAGCATCAGGATATCAACTTGAAGACGCTGGGCGATGACAAGCTCAAGTGGAAGAAGATGCAGCAGGCGGTGGAGAAGGAATGGAACGCGTGGTGCAAGTACGATGCAGCAACCCACATATCAGGAGCAGCAGTTGACAAGGTCGACCCGGACAAGATCCTGAGCTCCAAGGTGGTCTGGACCGATAAGGACCTCGCGACCTTCGAGCCGAAAGCCAGGATCTGTGGAAGAGGCTACGAGGAGGAGTTTGACGACAAACTACGACGGGACTCACCTACAGTCTCGGCACAGATGACGTTACTCCTGTGCAGCATCGTATCGAGCCTCAACTTAGACCTAGTCATCGCAGATGTGAAGGGAGCCTTTCTGCAAGGCAAAACCATCACACGCGAGCTCTACTTCCGCATCCCGACGAAACTCGGGAAGTGCAACATCCCCGGAGTGAAGGCAGGCGACCTGCTGAAGTTAAACAAGAGCATCTGCGGGGCCAACGATGCAGCTCGTGCGTGGTATGCGGCACTACGCGAGACGCTCGTGAAGCTTGGATGGGAAGGCCTGAGCTTCGAGCCCGCGACCTTCATCAAGCGCTATGCGGAAGGCACGATCATCGGGATCATGTGCCTGCGCGTGGATGACTTCCTCATGGGCATCAAGCAGGACGACCCGGAGTGCGCCAAGATCATGAAGGACCTGCAGAAGGAGATCGACTTTGGCGAGGTCAAGTACGCGAGGAAAGAGCAGGCGACGTTCTGTGGCCGGGCCTACAAGCAGGACAAGGACGGCAGCATCAATGTCACCATGGAGGCCTACGTGAAGTCGATGCAGACTGTGCGTATCTCCAGAGAGCGCAGCAAGGCACCATATAGCGCCTTGACCCATGCAGAGCATCGTGGACTACGAATGGTAGTTGGACAACTGCAATGGGCTGCGCGAGTGATATGCTTCGAGGAGGCCGTCGACGGTGAAGGACCTACAGGACGGCAACGCGGCCGTCAGGCGGATACAGAAGCGGGGCGACTTGCTGATCAGGTTCTCAGCAGGCCTGAACCTGTGGGAGACCATGGTGATCAATGTCACCGACAGTGCTTTCGACAATCTGCCGAAGCACAGATCACAACGCGGACGCTTCATCATGCTAGGCGACCAGAAGATCAACGAGGATCACAGTAACAAGTACAAGGTACACTGCATTGGGTGGCAGTCTTCCAAGATTCAACGAGTGGTGCGATCTACTCTATCGGCGGAGGCCTACTCATGTGCGGATTCGGTGGACATGTTAATATGGACAAGGTCGACCCTGGCGGAGATCCTGTACCCGGAGATGGACGTGACCGAGATTGTGCACGACACCTGCCCGGTGAAATGCATTTCGGTGACCGGCTGCAAGAGTCTATGCGACACGATCACAAAGGAGAAGATTTCTATGACGGACAGGAGGCTTTCTTTGGAAGCGGCTATATTGCGGCAGTCGCTCAAGGAGGTCAGCATCAAGTGGGTCAAGAGTGAGCAGATGCTAGCGGACTGTTCGACGAAAACACTTCCAGGAGGCCACGCGAGGAAGATAGTTACATCAAACCTGTGGACTCTTGGACCTGATGACAAGGCACCGTCAATACGTGGACGAAAGCTTGTTGGACCAGAGAAGGTGGCAGCCAACAAGGAGGTGGACGAGCTGAACGCGAAGATGGCCGAGTACGTCAAGCAGGAGCTGTACGATGACACCGGGAAGGACGACGAGGAGATCTCTACGTGGCCGGTGGAGACGTACAACTACGTGGACGAGTGCTTCTACGACGACAAGGACTAGGTTCAAGATGAGGACTACGTCGAGGCATTCTATACGGAAAAGCTAACGGACAACTACCTGATGGAGAGGAGTGGCGCGCAGAGAACCATCCAGATACCTGACCCAGCTGTAGTTTGATTTCAACTGTGTGCACTTGCAGTGTATGGAGTTTGTCTTTCGATGTCTCCTACGGTGGTGACAGTAGTCTCTATCATCGCGGGTATCATCATATTTATTTACGTAATGCAGCCTAAGCAAAACGACAGCGAGGACACCGCTGAGCCGATGGAGGTGGATAGTTCAAGCAGCGACAGCCTGTTCAAGCCGGAGTTGCCCGTGAAGCCGGTCAAGGTCAAGTCCAGGACGGCGAAGGCTACGCCGAAGGCTACGACGACAACACTCGCAGTACGAGCCGATCCAGAGACCTACGATGATGAGATCATGGGAGATGGACCAATCATGCTGGGAGATAGTGCTCTACTGAGACAGTGGCTGGATACCATGGGACCGACGATAATCAGGAGTGGCAAGTACGAGGGCGACAGCTACGAGACGATCTATACGAAGGACAGGCACTACGCAAATTGCCTAGGACGTTGTCTCAAGCTGGACGCAGACGAGAGCAGGAGTTATAACCTCGACCCGAGCATCAAGGTTTACATTGCATACAACATCATCAAGTCAGCAGTACGTGTACGCTGATCCCCACTACTACATATGTGGCGATATCTGGGAGCCAGCCAAGGCAGTGGCTCAGATGTAAGCGGTGGTAAGGATGATGAGTGATTTGGGTTACCATTTTCAGATGATGCGTGATGTTTGGCCACCATCTACAGATGAGGAGTGAAAGCGCCCCCTCAAGAGCTCAGGTAAATATTTGTTATTGATATCTGTTGCTCGGTGCGCAGACCTCGGGTAAAGATTTTATATATTGAGCAGTGCGTGGATTTCTTCAATATTAGTATCTGTTGCTCGGTGCGTTAAGTTCTTTTATATTGATATATGTTGCATGATACACGGACGGTAGTTTGACCGTTCGAGCAGAGAATATTTGATTTCTTTTATTTGACATCTGTTGCTTGGTGCACGGACGGTGGCTTGACCGTTCGAGCCAATACTTTTATCCAATATTCTGGAGGCTTGCTGCAGAATTTGCCAAGGCATTATTTAGCAACGTTTCCTTTTCCTGTGTGAAAGGTGTATTAGCAAGGATGTGAGTTATAGGATGATGTTTAGAATTATCTATGTTGCTGCTCTCGCTCGCTCATGCTTGCACTCTCTTGTTCACTATTGCCGTTTTTGGCTTGGACCTGCCAGCTGTGGCGGGAGGGTGGACGCATTCTACGACTGTCTAGCTTGACATCGGCATAAGATCAGATCACACTCTATCTATTTCTTCTTGCATCAAGAGGTTGTGGGTGGAGAGAGAAGGATCAATATTTACATAACTAACACCATCAGCTTGATCATGACCATGATCAGTATAATCATCCTCACCACCATCATCACCATCATCAGCATCATCATCAGCATCATCATCACCATACGGGGGAACCGAACGGACATTTCTAGCCCTCGGCCCCGAGAGGATCCCAGGAGGCCCCAAGAGGCCCCAAAAGGCCCCCGGGAAGACCCAAAAGGCTTCCAAGGAGGCTGCCAAGAGGCCCCCAAGATGCTCCCAAGAGGCCCCAAAACTGCCCCCCAGAGGCCTCCGAGCGCGCTCCGAAGAGACCCCAACCAGCATCCCTGAGGACTCTGACCGACGTCAACGTCGTCGCCGCCGCCGCCGTTGTCGTCGTCGTCGTTGTCATTATCGCCCTCGCCACCATCATTAACAGCAGCAGTCTCGTCATCCTGATCAGACTCACCATCACCATTCTCAACCTCACCCTTTTCCTCCTCCTCAGCATCACCAACATCACCAACATCATCATCATCATCATCATCATCATCATCATCATCATCATCACCGTTAGCGACATCGGATTCCTCATCGTCACCATCATCAACATCATCAGCATTATCAGTATCATCATCAGCATCATCAACATGATGTGCATCACCATCACCACCATCATCACATCATCATCATCATCGTCATCATCATCATCACCACCACAATCAGCATCATCACTAACAGCATCGCCATCATCGCCATCATCATCGTCATCGTCCTCGTCAACGACATCGTCATCGTCATCGTGGTCGTCATCGTCATCGTCAATATCATCATCAACATCATCATCACCATCGTCATCATCATCATCATCATCATCATCATCAACATCATCATCATCATCATCATCATCATTGTAACCATCATTGTAACCATCATTGTAACCATCATTATAATCATCACACGTCATCTTCACCGTGCTCACCGCCATCACCATCCTCATTCATATCTCCTCCCCCCCGACCGTCCTTCCTCCTCCGTTCTTTTCGAGGGGGCGGCTTAGAGCGGTGCGGGGGCGGCGCGGTGCCCTTTTTGCTCCACGATGGCGTTCGACGCCAACAAATCCAAGCCCGCAGGAGGCTCTCCGCGCTTGTCGTGCTCTCGCCGGGAGGAGCCAGAGTGGACGAGGAGAAGGATGGGGATAGAAGTCAGGAGGAGGAAGAGGAGGAGACGGGGAGGGATGATGATGATGATGCTGATGCTGATGATGATGCTGATGATGCTGATGATAACGATGCTGGTGCTGATGCTGATGCTGCTGCTGATGATGATGACAATGATGAGGATGTTGATGCTGATGATGCTATTGAGGTTGATGTTAGTGTTGATGATGATGATGATGATGATGATGATCATCATCATGATGATGATTACGCTGATGATGAGGATGATGATGCAGAGGAGGAAGATAATGAGGATGCGGAAGAGGAGGATGAGGAAGAGGAGGAGGATGCGGAAGAGGAGGACGAGGAGGCACAGGAGAGGAGAAGGGCTATGTATACACTCCCATAGAAAGGAACAACCAAACAGTAACATTCAAAGGAGGTGCACAAGAATGATGGAGACGAAGACGCGGCGGGGGAAGACCGAATAATTAATGTTCGGAGAAAGGCGATGGTGATGAGAAAGAAAGACGGGGAGGGGAAACCCGTGGCCGGGACTCCCCCCAAAGACTCCACCGCTCGCACTGCTGCCTTGGCTTCCCCTGCCTTCCCCTCATACCCAAGTCGCCTTCGACAGAGGGGGGAGGAGAAGGAGGAGGAGGAGGAGAATGAGGAGAAAGAAGAGGATCGAGGAGGGAGGGGAGGAGGCGGAAGAGAATCGACGACGGTTGGACAGTGGCAGAGGGACAGGAGCAGACGGGGCGTGGCCTGGACGATGATGGAATATGGAGCGGCTCGGGGCGACAAACCATCAGCTCCGAGGCTCCAACCATCCAGCGAGTTTGGCAGCATTCTCGGCCCCTGTTGCTGGGTGTTGACCCTCGGCAAGCCAGCCACGGGCTCGCCGTCGGGGCAAGCCTGCCAGAGGGTCTCGAGGCCCGAAAACGACGTCCGATGGCCGTCCCACTCGATCCGCCCCGTGCACAGCAGCTGCAGCAGCAGGCCCGTCGTCCACTCCTACTTCGCGCCGCCCTAGCTGAGGAAGCGGGTCGAGGAAGAAAGGGCGTAAGAGGAGCATGATTATGACAGGGAGCCCCTCTTCTCACGAGTGGCGAGCTTATGTATAACCAAGCCCTCTGCCCCCTCCCGATCTCGGCCCAACTCGGCGACGTGTTCCAACATCACGAGGGACGCGGCCCGCTGCTTCTGGTAATGAAAGGAGCACCGGTCGAAATCGGGCACCTGCCATGGGGGCAACGCTGATGAGGCTAAGAGGCAACTCCCGGAAAGTCTTCGCGGAATCGAGCAGTACTGTGTGAGATCTGGTATATATGCGTGCATGCGCACGCGCTTATGTGCACACCGAGAGAGAAAGAGAGATGGGGATGCAAACAATGAGGCGAAGGTATGATCATGTGGGGGACGGGGAGCCAATCAAATATCTATGTATATGTGTGTATGCATACATACAAGTGTTAGATTTGAGCACACGCACATTCATATTGCACTTGAATGCCCACTTACAACCATACGTATATGACCGTATACACATTATGCATTCCACACGATGTGGGTCCGAGACATCTCGACCGCATCCCATGGCGATTTATTTCAACACGGGCTGGCCTGGGACCCGAAAGCGGCTCCCAGAGACCGACACCAAAAGACAGGATGCCCGTCGTGGCCTCTTCACGACGCCTTAGGTCTGGGAATTTGACCCCCCCCCCAGGCCTTCGGGAAGGGCATCCGGCCCTCCGGGGCGCACGAGCCATCTGCCTGCGTGGCACCACCAGGGGTGTCGACGCCTCCGACTTCGAGGATGGGGGCCCCTTAGGAGACCCCCACACCCAAAGAACATCCCGTAAACGCCCAGAATCGTTGAACGTGCTGGTCGATCCTCGGTCCTCAAGAGGGGCCGCCGGCACCCTTGGTGGTGGCGACCTCCCTTGGCAGAGCCATCTGCCGTTGTCAGGGCCATCTGCTAATCATGAGGGGAAGTGGTCCTGATGGAAACGGGGTCCAATTCAAATGTTTCATCCGAAGCCGTCTTTCGACGGGGCCAGGGCCCAGGGGACGGCGCTGGGAACCCGAGAGCTAAGGAAAAAAGCTCCAGGTCCCGTGGGGTGCGTCCTGAGCTGCATTTCGTAGGGATCCAGCCGCGGCGACGAGGAGACGCCCAGAGGCCCCACGAAGACCTACAAGGCTTCAAACACTTCGATCGATCTTCGAACCTCGTCATTTAAGGAGGAACGGCAGGGAAGGGACCGGCTCAGGTGGGGGCAAACAACGACCTGGAATCGGCGAGCGAAAGGCTCCCGATAGCGAAACTGCACGGCTCTGGGCGGGATGCGCTCCTGAGCCCCAGATGGGCGACGAGTGGGCGATCGGGGGTCGATGCACCTCCCCCTGAGCCCACGGTTGCACCTTGGCTGAAAGGTCCTAACTCGACTCTCTGGCGGCCGTTCGGGACGATGCAGGCACCGCCGGAACGCTCTCGGCGAGGCGCAGCCGCTGGAGAGCACTCCGAGGGCGCAAAGCCGTCGAGATCTGACGAACACGTCCGAAAACCACACACCTCGAGTCTCGACGCTAACGCTGCCCCTCAGGCCTACGGTTGGGAACGTTTGCTTAGCGTGTCGCGGCGGCGGCCCTGGCGACACGCTGTGCCATGCAACCAGAGAACGTGTCGCTCCGCTTCGCAGGGCGAGAGGCTTCGAAGCGCTCGGGATGTTGGCGCTTGGGAATGGGGGCGTGGACAGCGTGTCGCGCCGAGACATGCTTGTCCAGAACCAGCATAGCGACGCGCTGAGCCACACCCCAATAGTTACCCCCGATTTTTCTGGTGCCTGCAGCACGCACAGCTGGCCCGCCACAGGCAGCAACATGCACCCCATAGCGCAGGCGACCTGCGCGCAGTGCCCCGCCCGCCCCGGCGCCGCGCGTCCGCAGCATGGCCTCGCGGGCATCTCACCCGCGAGGAGGGCTCGGGCCAACATGGCCCTAGAGGCCAAGCACGAGCGGCGCACGTGGGGCCACTCTGTATGCGTGCACTCTGCCAGGAGCGACCGCGTCCGAGCCCTCCCTGAGCCGACCCAGGCGCAGGCCAGAGAGAGGGAGAAGGATGCCTGGTTCGAGCAATGGGGGAGCGGAAAGGAGGGGGAAGAGCGCACGCGTTGGAAGAAGAGGAGGAGGGGGAGCAGAGGAGGAGGAGGAGGATGAGGAGGAGGAGGAGGAGAAGGGAGTGGTGGAGGAGGAAGAGGAGGAGGATGAGGAGGAGGAGGAGCAGGAGCAGGAGGAAGAAGATGAGGAGGATAAGAAAACGGAAGAGGAAAAGGAGGAAGGGGAGGGGGAGGAGCGCCGCTGCCCTGGGGTCTGGGGGTTGAGGAGGAGGAGGAGGAGGAAGAGGACAGAAGGGTAACGACAGCCTGTCTTTGCCGCGCAGTGGCATTTCGGCATATCATCTAGGAGCCGCCACGGGCTGTGGCACGGGCCGCTCGCTCAAAATGTGACCAGAGTTCTCTAGAGCAGAATTAGCCGTTCCGGGGTTTTGGCGCCTCTTCTCAGACCCCCTGAATGGGCATCCGAAAGCGGAACCACCAGGGCGCATGACACGGGCCTGTTCGCGCCGAGAATGTCAGGACCTCTCTGCCGTGCAGCAGGCGAGTCTCATTTCAAGGCCCCATGGCCACCGCAATGTGGCAGGCATGGCACTCGAGCATCTGAAAACACAGCCGCCGACGAAGGCCCACTCATATCCAGACTCGCTTCCACTCAGACGCAGCCGTCCTCGGTCGTTCAGGCTCGCTCGCACCCCTGCGCTCACAGACATAGAACTCATCAGAAAAGAGGTGTGCCACATGCGAGGCGCAACGTTAAGGGGGGACCAGCTTGGGCGGGGAAGTATCGCCCTGCAGTCGGCGATACATCGCCGATAGGTCGGCGATAGGCCCACGAGCCGACGAAAACGCCTGAATAATCACAACCTCGAACCTGGAAGCCTCTCCCCCTGAGCCTCCCCTGGGCGGGGGGGGGGCTGCGAGGCGGGACTCGCGGGAAGCATGCTTCTCCGCCGCGCGCCAGAGCGAGTCTTCGAAGAAAAGCTCGCGGGCCGGAGTTCGCGTGGCCGTCATTTCTGTCGTGAGCTTGCCAAGACGCGATGTTCGTCGCAACGCACTAAAACATCAATCAACATCGGACAGGGTCATCGGATCGAGTCGGAAGGTGAGTCGGGCTGGGCCTCCTCATCAGGACGGAGGCGGAATCGAATCAAATCGAATCGGTTGCGCCAGGATGCACAACACCGCCCATGCGAACACCGGGCCGCATCGGTTCGACGGAACATCGGAATCCGATCGTATCGGGCGGACTTGAACCAATATCGAATCGGATCGATCGGGTCGAGATTGACCTTGAACAGCGGGCGCTCCTCCTCCTCCTCCTCCTCCTCCTCTTCGTTGTCCTCCTCCTCGCCACCCTCCTCAAGTTCCTCCTCCTACTCCGTCCCCCCGAGGACGGGGACGAGGAGGAGTCCCCTTCCTCGTCCTCCCGCTTCTCCCCTTCCTCCTCTCCCTACTCCTCCTCTCATCGTCCCCAAAGTATCCATATATATATATGTATAAATCTCTCTCTCTCTCTCTCTCTCCTCTCTCCTCTCGCGCAATCGCTGACGCGTCGCCCACGCGGGCGCGGCGACGCGCCTGGCCGGCGCGCGCGGGCGGGACCGCCGTGCCCTGGCGCGGAACCTTCTCGTTCCAAAGAGGGGGGGGGAGGGAGGAGGGTCGCTCACATTCTCAGAACCCTCCTGAAGCCTCGGAGGGAAGGGAAGGAGAGCAGCGGAGGGGCAGCTCAAAAGTTGGAGCGGTGCATGCCGTAGACGTTGGCCTTGCCAGCACCCTACATGGAGTACTAGGAGTCTCCTGTAGGTAATGCTGCACATGGTGGCGATGATGATGCCTGCAACGCTAAAGCAATTGGCGTGGTATATGGTGTGTAACGCTATACTCGTATTCGGGGATCTTCTGACCCCTTGTCAATCAAGACCCGGGTCAGCAAGAAACCAAACAACTGCCATGCAATAGCAAAACTGCAACGCAAGTCTTCGCAAACCCGGGTCAGCCAATATGCGCGGCCGCCTCGCGGCCACGAGCGGCTCGCTAACCCGGGTCAGCCAGAAGGGGTCTTCGGGATCCTGCAGGATCTGGTGCCCTGGCTGACCCCCTTTTGCACGGACCCCCGTCTCTTAGGCCCCGACGTATACCATTTTTAGTATCGCCTGGATAATATAAATGATCTTTTCCGGTTTGAGGCAGGCCGGTCCCGCCTCCGTACGTCGAGTGCATGTACCTGCCGTTGCTGAACGTACAGGTGAAGGGCACAGCGTCCCCGACTCGAAGGTCGTTCATATCGTTTTTGCCGACGTAGGCGTCGCAATCAAACTCACGATGCATCCACGATTCCTCTACGAAGTCGAAAACGTAGCGGCGGTTTACCCACTTGGCGCACCCTGGTACCACGTTTGGTGCCCTAGTCTCACACCTGGTGGATCTCATAGCACTGACTGTGGCCTTCGTAGCGCAGCATTAGCAGGTGGCTCTCGCAGCTCAACCCGTCGTGGACGAAACCCTGCGAGTGGCCCTTTGTAGCCCGATTTGAAGTAAGCCTTTTGCCCTGGTAGCTCCGGTGGTGGCTCTCGTAGCTAACGATGTTGCCCTGGTAGTTCCTCAGGTGGCTCTCGCAGATCAGATGGTGTCTCCTGTATCTCAGCTGGTTGTTCTCGTAGCTCTACTTGTAGCTATCGCGCCTAAGGTGGTGGTCCTCATGGTGCAGCTGGTCCTCGCTGCCCTGTGCGTGGCCATTGTATAACTGATCTTGCGGCCTTCGTGGCTCAGCTGGTGGTCCCGTGACTCTCGTAGCTGTCCTGTAATCCTCGTAGGTCAGCTTGTGGTACTCGAAGGTCTGCCGATGGCCCTGCTAACTCTGCTGGTAGCTGTAGTATTTCTGCTTGTGGTCCTGGAGGCTGAGGCCGTAACCCTCTCAGCTTTGCTGGTGGGCCTCGTGGCTCTGGTGTCTCTCGGAACTCTGCTCGTGACCTTGGTGGCTGCGCTGGCGGTTCCAGTAGATCGCCTGGTGGTCTTCGTAGCTCTGCTCGGGGCCCCTTGTAGCCCAGCTGGAACTATCCATCACCCGCTGTCTGGACCCCACTGCATTCCCAGCTCGGGCCTTCCACCTCCTTCACCTCCTCTTCCTCCTGTGGCGCAACTGGTGGTCCTCGTAGATCTGCCTGCGGCTCTCGTAGCTCAGCTGATGGATCTCTTGGTTCTGCCTGTGACTCTCGAAGGTCTGTGGCTGCTACTGTTGTGCAACATGTGGGGGCCGTGAATCGTGACATTTTCACTGCTCGCAATTCGCCCGATTGTCTTCGCAATTATTATGGAGGTTCTCGTCGTTTTGCTGGTCGTCGGAGTTCCACTGGTCTTCGCCGATGAGATTGGATGCCCTCCTCGTGCTCAAACACCTGGCCCAATATATGATCGAGGAGTGCGTCCACTTGTACGTCGTGCTGGACGTCGGAGTCCACTGGGTCAGAGTGGGAATCCTCGACTGCCAAATCGTGGTGTTCTACGTTTTGCGAGCTATCGCCGCGCAGGAAATCGAACTGCTAACGCGCAGGTCGCTCGGTAGGTGGCCCTGGTGCGGCAGGTGGTGGTCTCGACGCCCGCCGGGTGGTATTCGAAGCTTTGCTGGTGGCCCCCGGAGCACAGCTTGTGGTCCAGCCGCTGCTGATGGCCCGTGTCGCATAGAGGGTGGTTATATGGGGCTCTGTTTCTTGCCCTCGTACTTAGCTCTTTTGGTGGCCAACGTCGCGTAGCAGGGTGCTCTGGTAGCTCTGCTTGTGGGACTCGTCGCTTTGTCTGTAGCCATCATCGTAGCTATGGTGGCAATAAAAAACCGAGTGCTGTGTTTTCGACGTAGCAGTTGCACTCGCCGTGCACGTTATAGTCGTCGTCGTCGTACTCGTCGTAAGCGGCGCGCCTGCTGTCCACCGGTACCTCCGCGACGACGTACTTAGGAACCCATTCGGTCTGTTCGGTCGTTTCTTTCCTGCTTTCGATCTCGGATGGTGGCGTACTGGGTGTCGAAATATGGTGGCTCTGGTCCTCAGGCTGCGCGTTACGCAGGTCATTCTCGTACTTGGGCTGCCTGTCGCGCAGTTCGTTCTCGTACTTGGGCTGTCTGTTATGCACGTCGTGCCTGGACGCCCTCGTGGGGGCGGTCATTACAATGATAATGATGTCGTCGGATCGACGCTGTATCCCATGTCGGACGTTGTGCCCCACTCGTTTTTTTTGGGCCGCGTCTGTTCGCGCCCGTGTTCCTCGAGTCGTGGTGTCGGCATACTTGCCGGTAGGTCTCCACCAGGGTGGGCTGGTTTCGTATCCCTTCGATATGTTGAAGGTGTCCGCTTTTGTCGGTATCGAGGTATTGCACGTCGATCTCTATACTGTGGCAGTCGCGGTTGATCGCCCGCTCGTGGTATGCGCGCCGCCGCCCGCCTCCCATGGCGCGACGGCGCGCTGAAGCTGGCCCCCCTCCGGGGCGCGCGAGGGGCCCAGGGGCGAATGTGGGGGACAGAGTTACCGCAAGCGGCCTTTATCCTCCTCTTCCTCCTTCTCCCCCCTCTTTTCTTCCTCCCCCTCCTCCTCCGCCTCCTCCTCCTGTCCCTCCTCTCAGCATCCTCTTCTTATCCTCCTCCCGTTCCTCCTCCTCGTCCTCCTCCTATTCCTCCTCCTCCTCCTCCATTCCTCCTACTCCTTTGGCTTTTGCGGCTGGGACAGCTTCCACACCTTTGGCTTTTGCAGCTGGGGCCCTGGGCGCCAGCCCGAGAGCGGCGGCGCGGGGCCTGCGCCCCCGCCTGGCGACGGAGGCGGCGATACGGGCCAGGAGGTCCTCCT